AAACTCCACACAGTTTTCCTTTCATAATGTGCTTGGTTAATTTACCAAACCTGTCACATGGAAACAACTCATTTTAAACTCAAAGTTCTGTACACTTTTTCTGTACATGACAGGGACAGTTGCGTCTTCTCAGAGAAAGACAACCACAAATGTGGCAACTCAGCTTGGACAGGTTGTTAATAAGACTTTTTTTTTCTTATCTTGCACTTATACCAGTAAATTGACATCTGTGAGTCATAATAAGCTCAATTTGGATCAACCGTTAGTGGTCTAAATGTTTTTTTTTTTTTTGCACCTACCTACAATGATGTGCTAAATTTTAAACTAAAACTCAGAGATTCTTCAGTTTGGTGAAGTTCAAGCCCTAGGCAGAATCAAAGAACTTATTATAAATGCTTTTTTTCCCCCCTGGAAAGGAAGAACCCATATTAAATGGCCTTTTGAAATAAATTTTTACATTTAATCTTCTAATACAACTATTTAGGAGGGTGAATGAGAGAACTAAAGAAAATATATGTCATTTATAATCTTTGTGTGTTTAATGTTTTTACAGATGCATTTTTAATGGCAGTTGTTTGCTAGACACCATTAGCATCTCTCCTCTGGCATCCTTTTCCTGACCTGGTCAGACATGATGTTATGACTCTAGAGAGTTTCTGTACTTGGCTAGATTTCACTGCTTCTGCATGCATTTGACTTTCATGCTCATCAGTTTTAAAGAATGTTAAAAATATAGCCTTACTTCCCCTATTGTAATTTTTTCCCTGAGTATCTTCTAGAATATAAATTCTATTTTAAGCCTAATTCATCCTTGGGACATCCACTTGAGGCAGATAGAAAGCGAGATAAAATTATCCCTATTTTGCAAGGAAAGAAACTGAAGGACAAGTAATGGTCACATCCTGAATTAGGACCTGAGTGAATATGATAGAATGGTACAGTAGTTCCCATACAATAGGGGCAGCTAGGTGGTGCCTTGGATAGAGTGCTGGGCTTGAAGTCAGGAAGACTTACCTTCCTGAGTTCAAATCTGGCTTTGGAAACTTACTTAGCTATGTGACCCTGGGCAAGTCACTTAACTCTGTTTGTCTTAGTTTCCTCAACTGTAAAATGAGCTAGAGAAGGAAATGGCAAACACTCCAGTATCTTTGCCAAGAAAACCCCAAATGAAATCAGAAGGAGTTGAACAAGACTGAACAATTCCATTCACTTTTCAAGCATAGATATCTCTTTTTACCATTAACAGTTTTTACAGACCTTCACATGTTTATGGCCACATTAACACTGAAAATTTTATTGGCATTAAATGTAGATTAAAATATTTCTTGATGTGCTTATGGATATATATATCCCTTACCATAACCCCATGAGGCTCACAGGTTGGGAACCAATAATTAGGACATAATTGAAAGTTCCATTCTGTTTCAACTAACAGGAAAGAGCCTAGAAATAATAATAGCTAACATTTATATTGTGCTTTGTTTGTAAAGCATTTTACATATTTTTTCATTTGATCCTTACAACTCTGTGAATTACATGCTATCATTATCCTAGTTTTACAGATGAAGAAATTGAGTCTGAAAGAGGTTAAATGGCTTGCCCAGGGTCACAGAATTGGACATTTTCTGAGGCAGAATTCAAACTTAGGTCTTCCTTGCTCCAAGTCAAGCATTCTATACACTAGGCCACCTAGCTGCCAGATTAAGCTATGGTGAATCAGACCTTTAGGTCCTTTGCAAGACAACCTAATCTTCTTTGGTTGAATAGACTCAACATTGATGGACCCTAGCAGAGATGGGGACAGAACCAAGGTATCTGAAGCTAAGGAGGGTATTCCTTGCTAAGGTGTGGCTTGGCCTTACCTTATATTCTTATTTTCCATGATTTTCTGTGACATCTAGTTTATCATATTATACAGACAGTTAACTTGCTTTATTGACTTTCCAATGACCTAAATGTCATTGAAATTCTTGTAAGAATTCAGAAAAGTTCAGTTAGATTTACAAAAAGAGAGAGAAGTAATTTTTATTGTCCAGTCCAATCATAGCATCATGTATCACAATGGTACAAATAAGTTTTATTAGTCAAATATGTTATAATAATATACTTTTGGGATAGGCATCTCTTGGTTAAATGATAAAACTAAAATATTTCTGTCTCAATTAATGACACATATAGCTTGTGAAAGGAGAGGACATTTATTTTTAATCTGAGTCTTCATTGAGTACCATCTAGAATAGAAACTGCTTATCAAAAGATGAGTTGTAATTCATACCTGTTCCCTCAAATATTACCTCTTTGCTGGGATAGTCACAGATGCAAAACTCTTTGCTTCAGGACTGGGTGACAGAAAAGGTGGTCCCTTAGTCTTATGAGTTGCCTACTATTGAGTAATTAGTGCAAGTCTTACATAATGAATAGAGTGTTAAACTTGGAGTCAGAAAGACTGGGGTTCAAATCTCACAATCATTAGTTGTATGATCAAATATATAAGTCATTTAACCTCTCAGCCTCATCTTCATACATAAAGAAGGAGATAATAATACTTGTGATATCTATATCACAAGGTTGTTATGAAGCTCAAGCAAGGTAACGCATGTAAAGCACTTTGCAAAATTTAGAATACTATAGAAATGTCAACTCTTATTAATACAGACCTTGCCTTCCAGAAGAGAGATGTTCAGAACTTAAGTAGAGTAGAGTTTTATGAGATCTTTTTACCAGGATTGTTTTTTTTGGTTGTTGTTATTTTTAACTTTAAATTTCTCAAGAAATCTCTAGCCAGGGAAACTCTCTTAGGAATCTAAAAGTTTATTGGGGAATTAAAAAAAAAAAAAGAGAGATAAGCTTCAGAAAATTTGTTGGGAAATAAGCATTCACATATGGATGTAAGAATCCAATCATTTATTCTGATTACTATTACCATTCTTATAAATGGGTGAACAACACAAAAATCCCTCCTAGTTAAGAATAGTGTTGTGTTCCTCAGCTTTTATATTCAGTTAGTAAGTCAATGCTGTTTCAGGGCTGTTTTCCACAGAGCACATTCCACCCTATTCATGTCCAATTCATTCATCAGCTGTTTTTCCCATATTTTACCAGAATGAGAAAGTGTCTGTTCTTGTCATCTGGGGACCAGCATTGTTTTTTCTTACCTTTTGGAAACACAGATGAATTGCAATGGACTTTGTCCTTCAAAAAACAAAATTTCCACATGCAAATGTCTCGCTCTGGTCGTTGGAGGGGGGGTAATCTAGTGGTGAGAATAGGGGCCAGCTGGGATTTGTATTCTACTCCTAACTCCACCACTAATTTGCTGTGGGAAACCTGCAAATTACTGATGCTTTGAGGAGACCAGACAGGTTTCAGATCAAGGTAAAAGAGGTATGTTTCTTATAAGAGACAGAGGAAAGGTTCAAATGGTTGAAGTTCACATAATATGTATAGAAATAAGGAAATAGTTTTAAAAACAGTTCTCTTTGAAGTTGTTCAGGTCAACCTAAAAACAACTTTTAGTTAAACAAAGATTAATCTTTCTATCGATATATTTGTATAAGGCCTAACAACCCATTGCTTAGGTGGAATGAATGCTTTGGGATGTTGTACTTGTAGTTAGCTGAGAGCTCAGTTCACATACCTGCTCTGACAGTTAAGTGACCTTGAGAAAACAACTTATCGTTTCTGAGCCTCACTTCTCTCCTCTGTAAAATGGCAATATTAATATATAAAGCACTAGACATGTAATCTATTAATATAAATCATGTAGAATTATGATAACCTTAAAACAGTATCCAATCATGAATTAAATGGGATATTATCTTATCAAGCGTCTGCAGTTTCCTAAATGAAAGGTGATGCATATTGTGATTGCTAAAAGTCTGTGAGTGATTTGCTCCGGAAATGCAAAAATCTCAGAACTGTGGAGTCTTAACATAGCATGCCTGCTTTAGGGAAATGGAAGGACCTAACATAAAGGAGATGAACTTGTGAAGAAACAGTTGAAATTGAGGGAAATGATATAATAATTAGAAACCAGAATAATTTTAGAAAAATAAACCATAACCTTACACAGGATAGTTGGAGGTAACTTCTTTTAATGGAGAAAAAAAAACTCCCTATTTCTTCTATACATGACTTGGGAGGTACTTCTTGTGTTTATCTGACACTGGAACTAAAAATCACTGAGCTTCTGGATTTGCTGTTACTAGAAAAGTGAAATCAAGGGCTTTGCTGGGTAAAGGGCGCATTGCATATGCTAAAGCAAGCCACCTGTGAACTTTTCCAAAGTATCCTTCCTAGGCTTCAAAATAATGAACTCACCTTCCGAATCATAACCCTGAATTCTGACTCACCAGAAGTCTGTAATTCATATTTGTATAGTTCTCTGAGGACATTGGCTCCAGGCTCTGTTGCCTGAATGCACTGTCCTTCAACCACATGCCTCACGTCCTGTGTCTCAGTCTTTATGAATGACTGATTGATCAACACACATTGTTAAAGTATGTGTAGCGTTTGGGGGCAATCCCTGGCGTGCGTCTTCTACTGGTGACAAAGCCCTGAAGAATGCATGCAGGGAATGAAATGTACTTTCCTGAAATGAGGTGAAATCTCCTCCCCACCCAGAGGTTCTCCGCGAACAGCTCATCCCCTTCTTTTCATTAGGAATTGTATTGATCCGGGGCTTTCTCGCTCCTGAAGGGAGCTTCCCACGCGTCGACCTTAGGATCGCAAGTCCTTTAGTGCCTCAAAGAAGCCGGGAACCGGACCCACGGCGGGCTGGCGGGGAGCAGAGCGCGCGGGCCAGCCTAGCCCAGCCCAGCCCAACCCAGCCCAACCCAACCGGAGTGTCCCCGGGGCTGGCTCCCTTGATCCGCAACCTTTCCTTTCGCTTTTGGCCGCCCTGGGGGGATTGGTTGGCCGGCCATGAGGGCCCAGCCCCCTGCTCTGCTCCGCCCCTCGGCCCCTCCCTCCTCCCTCCCTCGCAGCCTGGGAGAGCTCTCCTGGCTGGCCCTGAGCTTCGGGACGGATTGAACCGCCGCTACAACCAGAGCGCTGCCCGGAGGAGGAACGCCCTAAAGAGGAGGGGAGGGAAGAGAGAGAGGGAGAGACTGAGAGGAGAGGAGAGACGAGCCAACTAGCCAGCCAGCCGGGCCGCCGGAGGCGGAGAGGGGAGGAAGAGAGGGAACGCAAGAGAGGGACTGGGAGAGAAAGCAAGCCAGGAACAGAGAGAGGGTCGCGCTCACTTCTCCGCCAAGTGCCAACTTTCCCTGGAGAGAGTGTGCAGGGGCGCGGACCTTCCTCTGAGGAGAAAGCCAGCCCAACTTGAGATTGGAGAGAAACGGGTTCTATCCCTTTCCCTTCCCCTTGATTCTGACCCCCTCCCCCCCAATAAAGAGGGGGGAAAATCATCCTCTTTACAACCCGATCTGACCCCACTCCCCGGCACCATGAAGGCGGCCGTCGATCTCAAGCCGACTCTCACCATCATCAAGACAGAGAAAGTGGACCTGGAGCTTCTCCCTTCCCCCGGTGAGTGGTGACTGGCCAGGCCCCCATATGCTCCTGGCCTCAGCCAGGGGAGGTGGGGAAGCCTCGTCGCATGTCTGTCCACTCTTTTTTATCTTTTACCCCACCAATCCTACCCCCTTCCAAACCGCCTTTCCCTCCCACTCCCATGTGTTTCTGCAGAAGCTTGGGATGCTGATCTAGTGGACAGGGGGGAGAAGAAAGATGGTTGGTGGGCTTGGGACCCGGTACTTCTCCCTAGGGACATTTATTTTCACATCTGTGTGTGTGTGTGTGTGTGTGTGTGTGTGTGTGTGTGTGTGTGCGTGTAGGGGGCATCCTATATGATTCCCTCCCTGCCCCCCCCATTCCCAATTTAGTGCTCCGGAAGTGTGTTCCTGTTCCTTAAACTTTTGTGAGAAATGGAATCTGTAGTAGGGGGTCAGCCCTGCTCTGACATTGCCTGTTGGGGGATACGGGGATGGTGGAGACGCTACCTTTTGAAGGCCCTAGGGAATAGGGCTGAAAGACAATCTGGCCTACTTGAAAGAAAAATTCAGATTTCCCTCTGCCTTCGTGACGGCCTGTGTCACAATCTCTTTTCTATTTAGCTACTTTTGCTCCCTTTCTTTTTCCTTTTGGAATGAGAGTGAGGAGATAGGAGGAACTTTTGAAAGTATTCTCACCTTCCACTTGAGGTCACACATTTTTACCAATTTTCCTAGTCCATCACCTAATTTTGTGTCCCTAGAAAGCCTTCCTGGCACCAAAATGTTACAGCTACTGGGACTAGAAATGCATTGGAGAAAGAGAGGGGAAAAAATACAAGAGACTGATTCTGGGTCTTTGACTTGATGTTGTCCAACTTCTCTGCTTTGTAAACTATTTGAAATGGAGTGGGGGAGAAGGGGAATTTCTTTTTCTTTTGGACATGTAAGTTTTGGCACTCATGGGTTTTAACTAACTACATCCCATTACTGGACTTCTGGAAAACAGAGTTTGAGAGAGAAAAATGCTTTCTTTGAAGAACCAGAGAGTTTGACTATCACTTGGGGGTTAGTGGTTTGAGAGTGGGAAGAGAAAAGAAATGGGGAGATGGTGTTTTTTGAAAAAAAAAATTACAATAACATGCTGTTGATGTTTTGGGTTGTCAATGATAAACTGAGCTACTTACTTGCCTATGTGGATAACATTTCTTTCTTTCGTCCTAAGGAAAGTGTTGCCATTTCTCTAGATTTAAGTTTGCAACCCCAAACCAAGTTGATTTAGCTGTGATATTTTTGTTATGTAGAGATTCACCCAGAAAGAAAAATAAAATGACGAGTATTCCACGACAGGAGGCATCCTGACTGCAGCAGTACTGAGATTAAAACAGGGAAGGCACACTGATGCAGGCACAATTGCAAAGTAAAGTCTCTTTGATAGCTGCATTTTTTTTTGACTTGGTTATCAAGTTTTGAGGGAGCTAGAGTAGGTTCTACTCAAGTTAACTGATATAAATGGAGAGTAAAAGGTGAAATAACAGATGACAGCTCAAATACAAATCCTCCTAATCATTTTGTGTGTGTGTGTGTGAGAGCGAGAGACAGACAGACAGAGAGAGAGAAAGAGAGAGAGAGACAGAGAAAGAGAGAGAGAGAGAGAGAGAGATAAGAGACAGAGATAGATGGAATCAGGAAGAGAGACAGAGGGGAAGGAAAGGAGGGAGAGGCAGAGAAAAGAGAGAGAGAAATAGAGATGGAGTGGAAGGGATAGATTGAGATAGAGACAGAACAAGAGTTGAAACACAATATTGATAAATAAGAGGAACATACCTGTAATGTATTTTAAGTGTCAGGAATGGAAATGGCACAGCAAATGCCACACTTAGGGGAAAGACCTGAAGAAATAACTTTCAGTATCTTTATTACAAGTATTGAACATACTTATAATGTGATACAATAGATGAAGTTGGGGGGTAGGGAGCTATTATTCTGTCCAATACCAATATGAATAAATCTTGAGCTAATAATAATAACAACAGTAATAACCTCTTTATCCTCAGTCCCCCCACCTATAAGACAGGACCAGTCAATGCTACTTGATTTGTGGGGATTAAATAAAAGTCATCTTTGAAGAACCACAGGTCAAATTCCATCACATTTTACATAATTACAATGACAATTTCTCTCAAGATTTCCAAGCTGCAGCCTCATTTATTTCAAACAATATTCAATGCAGCAAAATTCTATACCCCCCCCAAATTGATTTGGACAACCCTTTAGAATTTATCATATTGTGATTTGGTTTCTACCAATCTCTTGCATAAAGGTACAACAAATATTGTACAAAATATAACAATGATTTATATGTAAGTAGTGCATTCTGATTTGGAACCTTAGAATGTCTTCTTTAATGAGCAATGCCCTCATACCACAGAGAAGTAAATAGAGGTAGAGAAAAGGTAAGTCACTTACCCAAGGTCACTCAATAAACCAGTAAATGTAGAAGAGCACCAGCTTCCTGAGTTCCTGATGGTTAGCTCTAACTGATCCTGGTGCTTGCTCACTACAAGTTCCTAACATTAGATCCATAGCTGAGGGTTTCTCAGTTAAAGAAACTTTTACTTAGATTTGGCCTTCCAAGTACAAATATTGGAAGAAACGCTGGTTGTGAATGCCTGTCTATTTTGTAGTGTGTTGTGTGTGTGTGTGTGTGTGTGTGTGTGTGTGGTGTGTGTGTGTGTTGGCGGTGGGGGGTTGGAGGGTGGGGAAGAGGCATTGCATGAGCAAGGATTTGCTTTGCCCATCAGACCATATAGGACTTTGGTTTAAAGTTTAACTTCTCTTCTCACAATAGTGGCAGGGCTAGACAGGCTTCTTTGTATCTACAGCGGTGGTTTAAATATTTATCAGGACAACTTCTTTGTGGCATTGCTTCTCTTAGGTTTGGAGGTATGCTTAGTTTTAGGGCTTTATCTGGTTGAATTTGTTCGATAAGAACTGTCCTAGAATACAGTGACTTATGGAATGGTGTGGTGAAATGGGTAGGGTGCTGGTACTGGTCAGAAGGTCTGAATTCTGTTTCTGCCTCCTCTGCTGGAACCTTCCCCAATGTCATTAATTGACATATTTTTTATTCACTCTTGTGGTTACTCAACTTCTCCATCCCTATTGCATCCTCACAGGATTTTTGAGAATTCCAAGTATAGTTACTAATACTGGTAGAATTAGATTTACTTGGCAAGTATAAAGAAGACCTTTTCTTTTTTCCCTTTAGATTGCAACACTCCAATTGTGACTTTCTTGAGAACTTCATGTAGTGAAAAGGAGATGCCTCCTTTAAGTTTACATCTAGGGTAGTAAAGATAATAATCATAAATGAATAAGTTTCTATGATATTTCATCCTACTTTTCTTTCCCCTTCATCTCTATCCTTATCTCTCACCTCCCCACCCCAAGTTAAGATGACTAGAGTACTTAACGAAGGGCCCAGGTTTTAATTCAGACTTTTGTGCTATTTTACTCATCTTAAAATGAAACAAAAAGAGATAACCTCAGCTGAAAGTCAGTCTCTCTCTCTCTCTCTCTCTCTCTCTCTCTCTCTCTCTCTCTCTCCCCTCTCCTCTCCTCTCCTCTCCGCTCCCCTCCTCTTGTCTCCTCTCCTCTCCCCTCCCATCCTCTCCTCTGTGCTGCTCCCTAAGCCTACTTAGTCCTTACCTTTCTCTGGAGATGGACAACAAAGACAAGCAGTCTCTGTAAGATGCCTTGCTTTCTGTGATACTGAATCCTATCCATAGGAATTAGATGATGACACCTCACCTGTTTCATCAGAGGCCATTGGTAGTGGAGGCACAGTGAAATAGTGTTAAGTAGAACCCTGGGATTGAGTGCCAGCTCTTAATAGTTTTATGACCCTGGACAAGCCACTTGCCAACACCTACTTCACAATATGGTTATGAGAAAAGCACTTTATAAACCCTAAAGCTCTCTATAAATGAGAGTTGTCATTAATAACATCCTGTGTGAAAAGCTCTATGCTAGGCACTGGGAGAGGTACAAAGCTTAGATAAGGCAAAGTCTTATCATGGAGCTTACTTTCCACTAACAGAAGATAGAAACATAGGTAACTATAAAGCACAATTTTATGATTTTATGTGACAAGTTCCTCAGAATTACAAAGTGTTATGTGAGATCTGAAGGGTTTCCTGGTTATTGGCAGGTATTCTTCAGGGAAGGCTTGGTGAAGAAGGTGGCATTTGAGTTGGGCTTTTAAGGATGGGTAGAAATTCAACAGAGTAGTTCATATTTGTATTTCTTCAAGTGTGAAAAGCTTGGGCACTGGTGATTCTTTGTATAGGGCTTCATTTACTGTCTTTTATCCTCTGTTCTCCTAAGATCTCTTCCATTTCAAAAGTGGGTTTAAACTTCTATTAAACTTCTACTTAAACTTGGGTTTAAATCTGACCTCTGACACTTACTAGTTTTGTGTCCTGAGCAAGTCATTTAACGTCTCTGTGCCTTAGTTTCCTCAAAAATGTAAAATGAGAATAATAATGGTACCTACCTCCCAGGGTTGTTGTGAGGATAAAATGAGATAATATTTGTAAAGTGCTTTGCAAACCTTAAATCATTATATAAATGCTATTATTATTATCATTTTATAAGTGGTTCCACTGGGGCTGCCTTCTGTTCGTTCCCCATTTGAAAGAGAAGGAAGAATAGACACATCATGGTGACCTTGTATTATCCTAGTCTTGGTGACTTGGTTCTCTGCCCTGTGGAGCTTTACTTTTTTAACTCACCTGAGCAAATGCTGTTAATCAGAGAGAGCCTCAGCTATACTTCAAAATGCTCTGATCACTATGGTTAAAAGGCTGCCTGAGCCAGATCCATCATTCTTAGCAGAAGTCATTGCCCAGGCAAGACAAAGACTAGCTAAACTAGGGTGTTTGAGTTTCTCAAGGTTGAGAAATGCACCATGTCCAGTTATTATAAGGCATCTCATTTTATTTATTTATTTGGTTGGCAGAACTTGCATTCCTG